CATAAGAGGTGCTTGATGAATATTTTTTGAATAAATGAATGAACTGTAAAATTAGGCTACAAGAAAAGAAATCTAGTCAGGATGGGAATAGCAGCAAGATACCATCAAATCACAAAGAAAAGTGCAGGTATATTAAGACTTTTTAAGCCTCAAAAGTTATAACTGCAAATTCATACCAACAAATAACAGAAAACATCTTCTGTCCTAGAGTGTGCCATTTGATTAATATTCCTATACTCCTGTTTTCATCATGTCACCTTTTAATAACTTGGAATAGCTCCCAATGCTTAGACCCCTGAGCCTAACATTTTAAACCTTCTCTAATATAACCAGCTTTTTCCCTAGCTATCTTACCTTCCCTCTTATATGGTACTAAAATATTTTACATCAGCTTTATCACTACCATTAATAATCTTTTCTGATTCAAGCCTACGATCAATGTGTGGCTCCTTTCATCCTCTTTTTAACTCCATCCAAATCCTTCCCAATTAGGGGACCCTGTATGCTCTAGCTCATGTTGATATACCTCTTTTTAAAACTAGTGAAGTATATCTTGCCTATGTTTCACATATTGGCATTTAATCATATATTACCTTGAATTTTAACTGCTATCTTATATGTACATTTTTTATATGGGCTCCTAGGGTTTTGGATCACATCACATTCAGGTCATCTTTAATGTTAAAATAATTCATATTCTAGTAGGTTATTTGTAAGCTAACTTCTTTTAGAACTTAGAGTGCATTTTCCATGGAAACAACATTTAAAAGGGTTAGATTCTCTTTTACATCTATAAATGTATTTAACAAATTATGTAACCGATCCATATTACTATGGTAGCCTAAGCTTGGAATAGTTGGAACAAAATTTCATGCAGGAGAATTTTGAACTACTTCCATCACTTGCTATCAAAAGCTCTTCATACTTGAGCAGTTTATTTCATAAGGGTTTAATTTTCTATAAAATAACTGTGGTTAGCCTCTTACATATGTTTGGTTTTATTGATTTTCTTCTGGAGCAAGAAGTTTGTATTTGGGGGAAGGGAACTGAAAGCCATTCATGATGCTAGTACATAATTAATTTTCAAAGAAGAATAATGCTTGCCTGAGAAATATCACCCAATTATGTTTTAACACGGATGTTAATCAAATATACATAGTGGGGAATCATCACTTCTAAGGTATTTGTTTTTTTCACTAGTATCATTTTGAGAGACCAGAACTTATCATGTTTCAGCTGACCTAATTATTATCTTAATACAATTTTTAAAATTCTAATAATTATTAATAAGTATCTAAGAAAGAATAAGTAAAGTGTTTAGAGAATTAGCTGTGTTTCAGGAAAGTATGAGTTCCAAAATGTCTTGCAGTTTTGTTTTGTGGAGATTAAATCAGCCTCTTCCATTTTTCTTTGAATGATTCTTTTAATAGATTTAGTGACCTAGATCATGACCAACATAATTGAGATAATTTGACTTGAAGATTTTTTTCTTTAATTTGCAAGAAAATGAGAAATTATTGGAGTTACTGAAAGTTATCAGCTATTAGTTTAAGGATTAAAATTCTAAACCAAATGGGTATAATATATTAGTGCTCTGGCCTCTGGCTAACCCTCTTCTTTTCTACTCTTCTACCAATATATCAGAGAACTTAAATTGTAAACAATTCAATGAATGCCATAGCCTCACAATTCCTTAAACTTCTTAATTTTAGTAATGCTTCCCACCCCCAGTCTCAGTAACCCAGAAACCATGGCCATGCCCTAGGCTAATATCTCCTTTGTAGAGGACACCGTTATTTGGCTTGATTAGCATTCTATCTACCTTTTTCTAAAACAGAACTCACCTTCTTCTGAAAATTGTATTTTCTCCCCAACTTTAATCATACATTTAATACCAGAAGAGTTTTCACTGCCTTATATGTCTCCAGAGCTCATTAGTCCAGAGGTGAGTACCTTACATAGACTGGCTGACTACAGTATCTTTTCTCTACTCACCCCCACCAAAGTTGATTGATTCAGAGCTGGGCACAGATAAATAGTTCAGGAAACCAAGCCCAACATAGACTGGCTAACTGCAGTATCTCTTCTCTACTCACCTCCACCAAAATTGATTGGTTCAGAGCTCCACACAGGTAGATAGCTCAGGAAACTAAGCCCACTAACTCTGGACCTATCCTATGGTGAGATAGTCCTTTTATGCAGAGTGCAGAGCCCAGAAATTTCCTAGGTAAGAGTAGTTCTTTAAGGCCACTATATTGGGCTACCCAGTATTCACCAACCCTCCAGCCACATTTTTCCTTTCATTTGGGGGAGAGAATCTTCAGGTTTTCATGATTGAAGGATTGAGTCACAATTAAGAGCATGTTTGAAGCAAGACTTGAATTCCTAGGTATAAAGGTTAGTAACACTTTCATTTATTTAGGTATTGAAACTAATCTTTGTTATATATATGAGGAGCCCAAGATTACTTGGACAAAGGCTAATAAGAGACTAGATCCAGCAGTAAATCAATATATTAGGATACGTAATGTGCTCTCTACACCCAGAAAGAGATGAAAGTGTTCATTAGGTGTTGGCACAGTCATCATAAACAGTGCAAGTAGCATTATGTGACAGTTGGTCAGGCTAACCTTAGAAGATAATTTCTACTCATCTCCTTTTTGTCTAAGGATGAGATCGCATACCTCCTTAAAGGCTGTGTATTTGATAATCTGTATACTATGAGTCTAGAAGTGTTGGTGGCAGAGGAGATTCAAATGTCAACATGAGTCACTTCTGGATGATAGATTTGAGTTAGGTAGGGTCAAGCATTTCTTGGCAATACTAAAGGGGAGACAGTTATTCCTCTATGTTAAATCTCTAAAAAAGGTTCTTATTATGAAAGTCTCCCAGGAGGGGCACCTGTTAATGGTTTTCCCAGAGTATAAGAAAGAACTAAAAAGTGTGGGATGGTTAAATAACTCAGACCTAAGCAGATTTAGAGTAAATTGGCATGTGGGTCTATTGGACTAAAACCAGCTGATGAATTTACCTGAAGCCACAAATCTTCAGTGAGTTCCAATGGCAAGTTCCCAATGTCATGTACTGATGTTCAGTTCTGTGATCATGGGGCAGGCTCTGGAGACAAGTCTACCCATAAAGAATCCGGCTTTCCCATAGAATGGATGCAACTTGTCTCCTAGTGGAAGTGTAAATTCCCTTTGTTACAAAGATTTAGCCTTAAGCCCAGCCATTCTGCTTTCACCTCATATACTTGAGCCACTACTTATGCTAGGCTGCCAGTCTTGGATATCAACCAGTTGATTGTCCAGCCAGGTCCTGCTGCAACAGGGTGATAAGTTTAATCTTTTGCCTAAAGGGGATCTTTGGGTAAAAAACCATCCTTCCCTCTCAGAACTGATAGATTACCGAAGTATATTGCGGGCTGAGGCACTGTGGCAAGAAAGGTAAAACTGTATCAGGAACACACATCAGGGTGAATAGTTGTTCTTTCTAGGGTGGAAGGCCTTTTATGTAATCAACTTGTCACCAAGCAGTTGGTTGATTTCCTTGAAGGATGGTTAACATATCAGTGGCTCATGTTAGTGTCTCTTACTGGCAGGTCAGACCTTAAGCAGCAGCAATGCGAGATCAGTCTTGGTGGGAAGGAACCCATACTGTTGAGCCAGTGCAAAGTCGCCATCTCAGCCATTGTGGTTGCTCTGTTTGTGAGCTTATTGTCCAAGTAGTGGGGTGACCAAGTGCAGAAGCTGGGTGATATCTCCTGTCAAGTCTCTGTACTACTTGGCTTAATGCCTCTTCTGTAATGGGTGCTTTCTGGTGAGAATTGCTATGCAATACAGAGATCTTACCCTTTGTTTCTACTTTTATAGGGCCATCCACATGCCTCTTCCCCAGACCTCCTTGTCCCCAGGCATCATGTCTGTATAGATTTCTGCCCTCAGTAGTAGCATATTAGCCAGATAGAGGGATTATAAGAGTCTTAAAAGCTTTTCTACATTTCTATATGCGGAACCCAGGAAACTACACATATAAGTCCTCTCTCAAAAGCTAAACAGATGAGGTAATATAATCAGGAAAATGAGATTACTCATCAAGCCACAGAAATGAGAGAAGTAGAGTGGTAGAACAGGCAATAAAATTGATAACCAGGAGAATTGTCAGAATATTACATTACAGAACAATTCTGGAAAGTAAGACCCTGATACCCCTCATTGCAAATATCTGATGCTTTTTGGACAGAAGCATTTGCTTATATTTATTTCACTAATACTAGAAATGAGTGTAACTCAGGATGAAAGATAGAATTATACATTTTAATTATATACTTCTCCAATAATTTATAATTATGTATTTGTTCAGTATTATTTGTGGGATTCAAAATAATTCACTTTATACTCTCTTTTTATTAAAAAGGTGCCATAAACTTTTTCCTCTGTATAGATACCTGTTCTATCCTGTTCTTCATAGATCTCTAAATTAGTTTTCACCAGGAAGTAAAAATTGACTTAAATTATACAGTTAGCAATAAGACATACTCTTTAAATGTCTTTGCCAGTTCCTCTTTTTTTACAATGGTAGTAATAGTATGAACACACATAGAGTAATTGTTTACATGTGTGGTATTTGGAGTCATTTTACCTGGGTTCTAATTCCATCTCTACCATTTATTGTCTGTACAACTTTGGGCCAGTTATATAACCTCTATAAGCTGTAATTTTCTCAACAGTAAAATGGAAATAAATTTATTAACCATCTCAAGTTGTAATAAGGATTAAATGAAATAATCTATGAAAAGCATTTAGTACCAATACATGGTATATTGTTAGAGTTCAATAAATATTGTGATTATTACTATTACCTAAAAAGTACATATTATAGAATTATGAAATCACAAGATGTTAGGTATAAAAAGCATTTGCTAGTGAAGAAATTGATGTTCATTCTTATTGTTGTGTAGAACATGAGTACATATAAAAGTTTACTATTTATACTTTCAGGAATCCTTAAATACATTACTTAAACAGCTAGAAAAAGAAAAAAGGAGTCTTGAAAATCAAGTGAAAGACTATGCACTTAGACTGGAACAAGAATCAAAGGTTTGTTTTTATTCTATACTAAACAATTCCTTTGAAATTGCCATTGTTTCTAGTGTTATCCACAAAACTACTATATAATTATCACAAAATGCTTACAAAACTATTTCCTATACTATTTTAAAAAAACACAATAGAAACATAAACCTGAACTTACTAATAGTCTTGCTAGTATTACTAATCTCTTATGTTAGATTCTTTATTTTTACTTTTTTACTTTTACTTTTCTTTGCTTTCACATAGGCCTACCACAAGACCAACAATGAACGCCGTACATACTTAGCTGAAATGTCTCAGGTAACTTTTTTTTTCTCCAAATTTTAAGATTTACTGTAAACTGGGTTTTTTGTTTTTTGTTTTTTACTTTTCTAGGCTTTGGTTTGGTAGAGAAGCAGATGTTGCAATTATGGGAGAAAGGGTACCAAGTTTCTAAATGCAAAGGGTGGAAAGGAAAACATATAACTTTTATAAAGAGGTAAAAGGAGATAAAAGTTTCCTAAACTAAGAGGTTATTTTGCATATTTGCTTCCTTAGTTATCCCTTTAGTTTGATCCATAATCGCTAGAATTCAAACAGGTAAGCTGATATCCCTCTGCTATCATGAAATTCAAGGCACTTCACTTCATTATTATTCATGGAAATGTCTAAGATCGGAATTGCTATTGGTAGAAAGTGTATCCTTATAAATATAGGACAGGAAAGTGATCCGTAAATTATGAAAGATGTACATATTGTCCAGTTTTTCATTTGCCTTTCAGTTTTATTTATGATATCGTTGTTATTACAGAATTTTTGTTTTTATGTTGTCAGAGCTATCTTTTATTTATGATTTCTAGCATCATAGTTAAAAAGGCCATCTTCATCTTACTGTTTCATAACATTCACCACATCTTCTTTTATACTTATATGGCATAATATTTTCCATTTAAATATTTGATCTGTATTAACATTATTTTGGTATATGTTTTAAGATTAGGATGTAAGTTTAGTTTTTGATGTGTGCTATCAAAATGGAAGTGTCCAAAGAGCAAAGATATATGAATCCCAGGAAAAAAATAAAGACCTAGGATAAAAATTTGAAAATTAATAGCATATAGATAGTGAGTGAAGTCATGTGAATGAAAGAAATGCATCAGGGAGAATATATAGTGTGAAAAGAAAAAATAGTCTAGAACATAGCTCTGAAGAGCTTCAACAATGATAGTCAAGGGAAGAAGAACCAAAAAGAGGGTTAGAGTTCTCAAGACATAGCCAGATTAGACAAGGAGGTAGAAGATCTTGAGGATGAGCTTGACATAAAGGGTAATCTGCTAATCCCTGACCTAGAGTATCTAGAGGGATCAATGAAGGATGGAAAGGAAGAAAATTAGGTTTTGGGATTGCAGCTGATAAGGGAATGTACAGAAAAATTTGAGAAAGTAAGTCAGGGCTATAGTGGGTAAAGGGAAGCTTGGACTTGTAGTGTTGACTTAAGTAAATAGGAAATTGAGACAAGACAGGATCAGTCCTTGTACTCTCTTGTCCACATAATAGACAATCAATTCAAGCTTCATGGTCCTTGCCATTAGGTTAGCAGCACTGTTTCCTCCTGCAGCCTAGGCACCTTGTTACCTTTCTGCCGACTATATATTTGGAATATGCTCCTTCGCACACATGCCAATTTCACTTCCTTCAAGTTCTAGCACATGCTACAAGGCCATGACATGATGAAAAGACTACAGACTCTGGAGCCATTGCAAATTTGAATTTGAATCCCAGTTCTGCACCTACTGCTGTGTAACCTTTCAGGCTTTAATTTCTTTCCTCACAACTGAAAAGGAAATACTAGTATATTAAGCAGTTTTGTGAGTGTTTAGAGATATAATGTGTATGAATTGCTGAGTGAAATTCTAAATTCCAGTAAATGGTGAATAATACCGTCCTGTTTTTCTTTCCTAATCTCCCTAGTCCCTCTATCTGTGGCAGAGACATCAGAATTTCTACTTGCCTTACCCTTCCTCCTGGTCCCTTACTGCTGATATATCTGTTTGCTTCACTCAGCTGTCAGTTCCTCCCTAAGGTCGGACAGGGTGCCTCTTTCTTTCTATTCCCTTACACTCAGTACAAAGACTGGCATATAGAAAATGTTCAAAACAATTTACTGAACTGAACATATTACAGAAATTTATATTGATAATAAGCCCAAATTATCACGAAAAAAGTGACATATAAAACATTGTCGAAGGATTTTTTTTTTGTCCTCAAAGCATTCATTTACCTTTGTTTATCTGAAAAATTCATTTAGATGAAATAATCCTACTCTCTGACTATACAGGATCACCGAACATTCAATAAAAGCCTATTTTTAAATCTTCCCAGGAAGATGTTAATCCTGTCCCCAGTATAAATGTTAATAAGGATTTTCACTCTAGAGTGAATTGTTAATCTTTATAGTGAAAGACGGTTCTGACCATGCAGATACCACAGTGACTGGAAAGGTTAATGGATGATTTGCAGTTCTGTCCATGCTGAATACATAAATAATTGATTCTTTGGTAGATAACTAGAGGTCTTTGCTGAGTCTGCTGTTTATACTTCTGCTGCTGTCTGTGAGGCTTTGTCTCACTCTCAATTCTCTGTTTTGACTGAAGAGTTCCCCAATCTCAAGAGTCTTCTGATTTGCACAATATAGTATGGGCATTGCTTTTTCTGAATACACAGGTACACTAAATTACTTAAAAGTCAGTCAAAAAGCCTGACTAGAGCTTGTTGCAACACATAATAAACTTAAGTGTTAGCTTCTATTCCTGTAAACACAGAATTTTAGCAATGGCTCTGAGAAATCATTCAATATAATGTTTTTAGCTTACAGTTAGAAATCTGAAACTGTTCTGTTTCATTGTTGCGAAGTTCTCATTGTTAGAAATATTAAAGCATCATATGATGCTTCTAATTCTCTTTTCTTGAAAATTCTTGCATTTAGTTAGATCCTCTGAAGAACAGAGAGCAAGTCTACACTCCTTGTACATGATAGTTTTTCAAAGATTTGGAAACAACTCTCAGTTTTCCCACAGTTTGTTTGTTTGTTTGTTTGTTTTCTTAGCTAAAATATTAAGTTACATTCGCCATTCCTCCTGACATATGTTCCAGACTGCCCGGGTAGTTCCACTGCCTTTCTGGAAAACTCTTTTTTGTTAGTGTTCATTGAAACATGGAGCTCCCAGGTTTAAATTTAGTACTTAAGATACCATCTCAACAGCATAGCTATCAAAGTCTTGTCCCCACCATACCAATTTTTCTTCTCTGTTGCCTGAGTGATCATTCTGAAATACATATATTACGGTGTTGTTTCCTGTTAAAAATCTTCAGTTTGCATTTCCCAAAGGATCACAGCAAAGCTCCTTTCCAACGTGGCTATGTGTGTCTCTGCAGCCTTATTTCCCTACTAACATCCTGTACTGCAGCTAGACCAAATGCGATGGGCAATTCCTGCCTATATCATGCTGCTTTATGCCTGAGGTCCTTGCTGTTCCTTCTACCTAGAATATCCTTTCTCTAGTTCTTCCATGTGGAGCCCCCTCATATCCTGAATTAATTACATCTCCTGTATGCTTACAAAGCACCTGTGTAACCCTCTATCATCTGTTTATTTTTCTGTTTCCCCAATAGAACCATGACTTATTTGTCCTTGTACCTCAATGTCTAATGTAGTGGTGGCACATACTGGATAATAACTACTGCTGAATGAATGAATTAATTTCATCTTCTGTTCAGTGCACCCAAACCTGTCACTTAGCAAATGATCTATTATTTTAGCTCAGAAAGAAAAATAGTCTATCAGGAGTGAAATCCAACTGTCCTCCTTTTTACCTTCAAATGTATCCACATCTCTATCTGCCGTTCCTGTTCTTCCTCCTGTCTTAAAGAAAAAGGATCCCAGTCTTCCCAAGTCTATCCACTGCCTCTAGGACTCATTTAATAATTATTTCATCTTAAAATTTTCATCTCTTTTTTATTGGTTGTGGCTTATCCTCCTTTGCTTGCAGCGTGCCTGACTCTTCCACCAAAACAAAAACAAACTTTTGTTTTACCCCAAATGTCCTCATAAAACTACTATCTTGCTTTCTTTTCCTCAGCCAAACTTCATGAAAGTAAATATACTCACTGCCTTTGCTTTTCCCTCCTTGACCACTTTTCATCTCTTTTTTTTGACCCCACCGTTGTACTCTGGTCCATTTTATCTCTTAATAGCCAAATACAATGACTCCTCTTCAAGCATCCTGTTATTAGAGGTCTCTAAGGCATTTTACACTGTGGCTATGCTCACTGCTTTGAATACTGCCCCCCACCCTTGATTTCTGGGTTTTTCTCTTGTTTAAATGATGGCCCTGTTTATCTTTGATGATTCTTCTATACCTTAACAGTTGCTTTTCCAAGTTTATATCATTGATTCTCTGTGCCCTTAATGAATGATTCATTCACTTGTGGCTTCCATTGCCATCTCTGAGGCGATCAGCCTCAATTGTTCCTGAATTTTAGATTATATTTATACCAACCACAAGAAGTCTCTATTTTTATATTCTGGAAAAATTTCAAAATAGACAAAAATTAAAATATTATCCTATCTTTCTATTTCAGCCTCAACGTGTCTACAATTTCTGTTTTCTTGTCTATCCCAAGGCAGGGTATATGTATTATGTATTAATATATTTATTGTCTACTACAAAAACTTTTATTGATCTATATCATATGGATGATATAGTTTTTACAGTATTATTATTCATATTTATTTTAAAAATCATATGGACTGTGGGGCTGAGATAGGGAAATTTCCAGAATCTTTAAAAACTTGATAGTACTGGAGAAGGCCAGAATTTCCCATTTTCTTCAGCTTCTCTTATACGTGCTCCTAAAGGACCTGGTTAAGAAAGAGTTAATTAAGAATCAACTATTTCTCTTATCTCTGAAATCAATTATGAAATAAGAGAATAAACACTCAGATTTTTATATTTCAGGTCTCTGGCTCATATCAAGTTTCTAAAAAGCAACAGATGGATCAACTGCCTAGAATGAAAGAGAATCTAGTGAAAACGTAAGTCTAGCAATATCTTTTTTCCTAATTAATTATATTTGCATGTGAATGCTACTGACAAACAGGTGTCCATTATATTTTAGAAGTTGAACTTCTAGATTTATAGCAACAATATAAAATAGCAGATGGTAAGAAAACTTAAAGAAGTTTGTGATCTCCATCAAGTGTAAACACTTTTGTTATATCCCAGAAACATTTCTGGTCTTCAAATATGATATGATTTTATTTTTTAAACTAAAATAATGCTGTGCCTGAGAAGAGCTTAAAACTACACTATTAAAAATAATATAAATATAGGCATACCTTAGAGATATTGTGGGCTCAGTTCCAGACTACCACAGAAAGTGAATATTGCAATAAAGCAAGTCACATGAATTTTTTTATTTCTCAGTGCACATAAAAGTTATGTTTAGGCTAGAAGCAGTGGTTCACGCCTGTAATCCCAACACTTGGGAAGCCAAGGCAGGAAGATCACTTGAGCCCAGGAGTTCAAGACCAGCCTGGGTAACATAGCAAAACCCCATCTCTACAAAAATGTTTTTAAAAAATTAGCCAGGCGTGGTGGAGTGCACCTATGGTCCCAGCTATTGGGGAGTCTGAGGTGTAAAGATTACTTGAGCCCAGTAGTTTGAGGCTGCAATGAGCTATGATCACACCACTATACTCCAGCCTGGGAGACAGAGAAAGACCCTGTATCTAAAAAAAGAAAAAAAGAAAAGTTATGTTTACATAATATTGTAGTCTGTTAAGTGTGCAATAGCATCATGTCCAAAAATACAATGTACATATCTTAGTTAAAAAATACATTATTGCTAAAAAATGCTAATGATCATCTGAACTTTTAGGTGAGTCATATCTTTTTGTTGGTGGAGAGTTTTGTCTTGATGTTGATGGCTGCTGACTGATCAGGGTGGTGGTTGCTAAAGCTTGGGGTGACTGTGGCAACTTCCTAAAATAAGACAATGAAGTTTTCTGCATTAATGACTCTTCCTTTCATGAAAGATTTCTCTGTAGCACTAGAACGTCTTTCAAAATTGGAGTCAATCCTCTCGACCTCTGCCTCTGCTTTATCAACTAAGTTTATGTAATCTTCTAAATCCTTTGTTCTCCTGTCAACAGTGTTCATAGTGTCTTCACCAGGAGTAGATTCCATCTCAAGGGACCACTTTCTTTGCTCATCTATAAGAAGCAAAGTTTTTATCCATTCAAGTTTGATCATGAGATTGCAGCAATACAGTCATATCTGTAGGCTCCATTTCTAATTCTAGTTGTCTTGTTATTTCTACCACATCTGTAGTTATTTCCCTTACTGAAGTCTTGAACCCCTCCAAGTCATCCATGAAGGTTGAAATTGACTTCTGAACTCCTATTAACATTTCTATTTTGACCGCCTCCCATGAATCATAAATGTTTTTAATGGCATCTAGAATGGTGAATCCTTTCCAGCAGGTTTTCAATTTACTTCACCCAGATCCATCAGAGGAATCACTATCTATGACAGCTATAATCTTAAAAAATATATTTCTTAAATAATAAGACTTGAAAATTGAAACTACTTCCTGGTTCATGGGCTGCAGAATGGATGTTGTGTTAGCAGGCATAAAAACAACATTAATCTCCTTGTAGATCTCCATCAGAGCTTTTGAATGACCAGGTACATTGTCAATGAACAGTAACATTTTGAAAGGATTCTTTTTTTCTGAGAAGCAGGTCTTAACAGTGGCCTTAAAATATTCAGCTAACCACACTGTAAACAGTCGTACTGCCATCCAGGCTTTGTTGTTCCATTTATAGAGCATAAGCAGAGTATATTTAGCATAATTCTTAAGGGTCTTAAGATTTCCAGAGTGGTAAATGTATATACTGACTTTAACTTAAAGTCACCAGCTGCAATAGTCCCTAACAAGATAGTCAGCCTATCCTTTGAATGTTTGAAGCCAGACATTGACTTCTCCTTTCTAGCTTTGGAAGTCCTAGATGGCATCTTCTTCCAATAGAAAGATGTTTGATCTACATTGAAAATCTGTTTTTTAGTGTAGCCACTTTCATCAATTATCTTAGCTAGACCTTCTGGATAATTTCCTGCATCTTCTACATCAGCGCTTTTTGCTTTACCTTACACTTTTATGTCATGGAGAAGGTTTCTTTCTTAAACTTCATGAACCAACCTCTGCTAGTTTCAAACGTTTCTTCTGTAGCTTCCTTACCTCTCTCAGCCTTCATAGAATTAAAGAGAGTTAGAGCCTTCTCTGGATTAGGCTTTGGATTAAGGGAATGTTGTGGCTGGTTTAATCTAGGCCACTAGGCCACTAAAACTTTTTTCCATATCAGCAATAAGGGTATTTTGCTTTCTTATCATTCTTGTGTCCATTGGAATAGTACTTTTAATTTCCTTCAAGACCTTTTCCTTCATGTTTAAAACTTGTCTAACTGGTTGGCTCCAGAGGCCTAGCTTTCTGCTTTATTTTGGCTTTTGACATGCCTTCTTCATTAAGCTTTCTCACCAGCTTTTGACTTAAAATGAGAGAAGTGTGACTCTTCCTTTCACTTGAACACTTAGAGGTCACTGTAGAATTAAAAATTGACCTAATTTCAATATGTGTCTTAGGGAATAGGGAGGCCCAAGAAAGATGGGGGAATGGCCTGTGAAGCAATCAAAGCACACAAACTTATTAAGTTTACCATCTTATGTGAGCACAGTTTGTGGTGCTCCAAAACGATTATAATAGTAACATCAAAGATTTCTAAGCACCATAAAACATATAATCATAATGAAAAAGTTTGCAATATTATGAATATTACCAAAATATGACAGAGAGACACAAAGTTAGCACATGCTGTTGGAAAAATGGCACTGGTAGACTAGCGCAACACAGGGTTGTCATAGATCATTAATTTGTAAAAAATGCAATATCTGTGAAGAGCAATAAACAAAGTATGCTTGTGCAATTAAAATGTCAGCCTTACCCTTTTTAGTGAAGAAATATGTTCATTGGAGCGGACACTAAGATAAATATAGATGACAGTGCAGTTTTAACTATATTTTCCTGTGTAAACAAAACTACTTTAGGATAGATAAAGAACAGAGGAATGTTTCATGGGTTGAGAAGGTTATATCTACACACAATTTTTCCTGGTCTTGTATTAAGTACAGAATAATTCCTCACATAATCCTTGTCTTATGTAACCTTATCCCTTGTAAGGGAATATATTCATATATAACTTAACACTGTAAAAAGTAAACCAAGATATAAATTAGTTTATAAATCAGAGAACCCTTTCCAAATATAGGTCAAGGCAAGAAACACTCAAGTATGTGCAACATAGCAAAATTCATTGGTGTAGATTAATGAGGTAGCAACATTTTATCTAATATTTGGCTGGATGGATCAAATTGTATTCTTTCTTGAATAGTCATAAATCCTTTAAATTATAATTCATTACCTTTATACATTTTCATCATTGGAAATATAATGTAGTTTAAATATTAAATTCTGATAAAAGACTTCCCTGTAAAACCTATCAAATCACTCTGTCAGGGTCCCTAAGACCACTCCCATGTTCAATGATTTGCTAGAAGGATTCACAAGGATTAGCATGTATTTGTATTAGTGGCTAAGATGTATTACAGTAAAAGGATACAAAGCAAAATCAACAAAGTCAAAAGGTACATGTGACAAAGTCTGAGAAAACTAGGCACAAGCTTCCAAAAGTCCTTTCCAAGTATATTCGCATAAGAGACACTTAATTCCACCAGCAATGACTTGCAACAAGTGTTGTGACAGCACATGAAGTTGTATGTATTATACCAGGGAAACTCATAGATACTTAGCACCCAAGGTTTTTATTGGTAGTACATCAAGTAGGCATCCTCTACCTAGGTAAACCAAAATTTCAGACTCCCAGGTGATCAGTATAAACTATATTGTTTATAAAAACAATATAGACATAGTTAATCATTCTTATTGTTTAGGGAAAGTTTTATATCAATGTAGAGAACTGTCTACCAGTAAGTTTCCAGACACCAGCCAACGGCTAATCTTGCAAGCAGGCTTTTCTAAGGATAGCAATTTCAAGCCTGCTATGTAACTCCTTTCTGTACAATCACCCTAAATAATTTTTCTTTTGTTTTTATATTTATCTTCCAGTTCAAATCTCTTTTTAAAAAATATTAATTAACTCTGTCATTAAAATTTGCTTAATAGTGAAGGGGGAAATATTTTGAAAATAAAAATAAAAGTTCTTCATTCTAATTAAATATTAACACACTCAAACATATGTATCACTAGGCTGTAAGTCCATGAAGGCAGTTGGTTTTCCATTGAATACCACTGTGAATTGGATCTCTTGGGAATAGACTCTGAAGTGGGAGTGAACATGCAGGAGGTTTATTAGTGACTGTTCTTAGGATTGCCACCTGGAGGAGAAGGGAAGGACCCAGGTTTAGATAGAGGGAGTGGGGCTATAGTGCAGCCACAGTCTCACATACCAGTCTGATTCATCCATGACAAAGTGTGGGCTTTTTCTTCCTCTGGTGGAATAACCCAGACCCTTTTCCCTGTGGAATCTGAGTCCCTGTTATCCTGTCTTTTCAAGGCCATTGCTAAGTACTAGTCCACTCACTATCAAAATTGGGCAACTTAGTACTAAAGGACACTGAAATATAATAGATCGCCCAGGTGCCAAACTCATTCCTCCTTGACCCCTGATGTAGCAGCCACTGAGTATCACACTGATGATCAGCTTCTCTGTGGGGCCCTCTATGCCATAGGTCTGAATGGAGCTTCAGGTGTTGGTACAGAGAGATGGACAACATGATGTAGGGTACCTGCTCATTCAGCTGGTTTGTGCCTCCAGCGCTGCTCATGCTTGATCCCAGATCTGTCACTTCCATATTTGATGAAGCTTAATGTTGAATCCAGTGCCTAGCATAAATTGGTGTTTAATACTTTTTGAATGACTTCATGAGTAAATGAATAGTCAAACAAATGGGCAAAAAA